TGGGGCTGTCCTTGCTCTCACCCTCCGGAGGCCCAATGGCCAGAGTCAATATGGCTGCCCCTATCTCAGGACAGCAAGGCCTAGCAGTGAAAGTCAATCAACCAGGGGCTTTAACAACCAGTGGCTCTAGCCTCCAGTAGCAGTGCCCAATAGTCACCATCTCAGGCATAATCACCCAATCCCTGGGGTGGCCCCTGCACCCAGTGGTAGGTGCAGGAAGGGATAGGGGGATCCAGACCCACCCTGATCCACTGGGTCCCAACCCAGGGCCCTATGAAACCAGTAGCCCTGGTTTCAGATTCAGGTTCCAACCTCAACAAATAATCTTCCTGGGCTGCTTCCCACCCATGATTCCAGTGATGGCATTTCCTCCACCAGCAACAGCCATCTGTCTTCCTCTGTCTCTGTGGTCAACCGGGGTCCTGCCGTGGACTCGGTGTGTTCAGCTACCACAATCTGCAGCTCTAGCAGCTTCCTGGCAGGAGCTCAGAGTGTGCGTACGCTCTCTTCCTCTGTCAGCCCAGACTGGACTGAACTGATCCCTTGTATATCCAGCATCCAGTTGGAGCATGTCCAGGAGGGGCGAGGAAGCATGGCCTCTTGCACCCAGAGACTGTGTTCAACCCTTGTTGGACCAGTGCAGGGTAGATACGCCCCATCACACAGGGATTCACTCATTTTCAGTCATATGTAAAATTTGTCTATGTGTCCAGAGAGAGCTATGTTGGGCTCATCTGCACCCTCAGCAAGTTTGCAGATGACACTAAACTGGGAGGACTGGTAGATATGCTGGAGGGTAGGGATAGGATACAGAGGGACCTAGACAAATTAGAGGATTGGGCCAAAAGGAATCTGATGAAGTTCAACAAAGACAAGTGCAGAGTCCTGCTCTTAGGACGGAAGAATCCCATGCATTGCTACAGACTAGGGACCGAATGGCTAGGCAGCAGTTCTGCAGAAAAGGACCTAGGGGTGAACGAGAAGCTGGATATGAGTCGACAGTGTGCCCTTGTTGCCAAGAAGGCTAACGGCATTTTGAGCTGTATAAGTAGGGGCATTGCCAGCAGATCGAGGGACGTGATCATTCCCCTCTATTTGACATTGGTGAGGCCTCATCTGGAGTACTGTGTCCAGTTTTGGGACCCACACTACAAGAAGGATGTGGACAAATTGGAAAGCATTCAGAGGAGGGCAACAAAAATGATTAGGGGACTGGAACACATGAATTATGAGGAGAGGCTGAGAGAACTGGGATTGTTTAGTCTGCAGAAGAGAAGAATGAGGGGGGATTTGATAGCTGCTTTCAACTACCTGAAAGGGGGTTCCAAAGAGGATGGATCTAGACTGTTCTCAGTGGTACCAGATGACAGAACAAGGAGTAATGGTCTCAAGTTGCAGTGGGGGAGGTTTAGATTGGATATTAGGAAAAACTTTTTCACTAGGAGGGTGGTGAAGCACTGGAATGGGTTACGTAGGGAGGTGGTGGAATCTCCTTCCTTTGAGGTTTTTAAGGTCAGACTTGACAAAGCCCTGGCTGGGATGATTTAGTTGGGGATTGGTCCTCCTTTGAGCAGGAGTTGGACTAGATGACCTCCTGAGGTCCCTTCCAACCCTGATATTCTATGATTCTATGATTTATTTCCAAGCACTAAAAAAATCAGAAAAATGAACTGTCTCTGTCTTGTTCCCTGGGCCTTTCAGAGAATTCTCCACACTAGCTGCACTGGTGAGCTGTGTAGCTAGAATGCTGTAATAACACAAACACACTCAGGACTTGAACAGCTGTTCTGAGATGCTGCTCACACTGGGTCACAAGATGGTCTCACTCAGTCTGTGCTCAGCAGTGACTGGCAGATATGATTCTTCCTCCATTTCCAGCTGTGTTGGTACCTCGGGGTTGATGCACCAAGTGGATGAGCTCCAAGTAGGAAAGAGCTGATCTTAGAGGTGATGCCTGTAGGGGCCCATCCACACACCCCTCCCTGGCTCATGCTGACCCAAGCATCCAGCTAAAGAAAGACCCCTCCACCCCATTCTTAGCTGGGACACCCCATCTACCCAGGCCCTAGAAGGAGCTGTTCCCAGATATCACTAGGATCAGGGAATGGGCATGACCCTAATGATACATGGCCAGGAGTTGACCTATGATGGAGCCAATCAGACCCTGTCCCTTATCCAGCTCAGGTCAATGCCCCATTCCCATCCTTCACTTCCCTTCCCCATCCCCACAGTCAGGAGCTGGGGAGAGCTGGGGCTTTTCAGGGGATGGTCACAGGGGGGAGCAGACAGGGAACTGGATAAAAAAAAGAGAACTTCTCTCCTCTCCTCCACAACAGCCAGATCAGACAGGAGTGTGACAGGTCCCAGAAAGCGGGGATGACTCCTGGGGGAGACATTTAGAGCAGCTCCTAGAAGTGATGGTTGGTGGGGGAGGGAAGTGAGAGATGGTCAGTGCAGGGATGTTGAGACAGATCTGTCTGTGTGTCCTGTTTGTCAGTCTGTCTGCCTCACTTTCATAGTTACAGCACAATTATATTAATATCTGAAACTGCACCATAAACACAATGGTGAAATCTCCCCTCTCGCCCTTTTCTCCCTCTAGAGATTCTGCGATCTGAGATGGAGAGCGAGAAAGGTCAGTGTTTGGATCCCATTACACTAGCTGACAGTAGAGTTATCCCCATAAATAAAATAGGGTGAAATCTTGCCATTATTAATTAATGATTGGAACAATTTCCCAAGGGCCATGGTGGATTCTCCAGCACTGGCAATTTGTAAATCCAGATTGGGTGTTTTTCTAAGTGATCTGCTGTAGGAATTATTGTGGGGAAGTCCCCGGGCTTGTGTTTTGCAGGGGTCAGACTAGGTGATCACAGTGGTCCCTTCTGGCCTGGAATCTATGAATTAATGCATCACCTCTCGCTCTGTTCTCTCTCTAGAGACCCTGCTGTCTGAACGGGAACGAGAGAAAGGTCAGTGTCTGGGCCAGTTACAAAATTAACATTATCCCCATAAACCCAACAGGGGGAAGTCTCACCTCTCCCTCTTTTCTCCCCCAAGAGACCCTGCAAGCTGCAATGAAGAGGCAGAAAGGTCAGTGTCTGGGACCAATGGGATGCGTTGAAGATTTCGTGTCAAGTCAGTCAAGTCAGCTCAGTCAAGCCAACTTAACTCAATTGAAAGCCACATTTACTGCCAGTGGAGTCACTGTTTAACATATTTAGCTCAATTTTAGCAAGTGGAGTTACATGTTTGAATGAGTGACAAGGAATGTCTCCGTATTGGCACCAGAGCCCCAAGCAGGGAGCTCAGGGCTTCTCACACTGACACAGACAGGCTCTGAAGGGCGAAGGGCCCATTTGTCCTAATAAACCCCATGAGAATTACAGAAATGGCACCTTGAGCCCAGGGCCCTGAATACACCAGCCCAGCTTGGTTAGCCTCATTGCTGGAGACTGTGGGTACGTGTACAGTGCAAAAACTCACCTGTGGCTGCGAGTCTCAGAGCCTGGGTCAACTGACTGGGGCTTGTGCTGCAAGGCTAAATCTAGCAGTGTAGCCGTTCCCACTCGGGCTGGAGCCCAGGCTCTGAGACCCTCCCCCATCGCTGGGTTTCAGAACTCAGGTGCCAACCCGAGCAGAAACTTATATACTGCTATTTTTAGCCCTGTAGTGTGAGATCTGCAAGCCTGAGTCAGTTGCCCCAGGCTCAGACCCACTGACATAAGGTTTTTTGCAATGTAGATGAACCCGGACAGACTTATCCAGTGTTTGACAGGATCCCTCACCTGGGAACCTCCTGTTTTCTGACCCTTCCATGCCCATGTAATATGGGGGGGAGGGATTTCACCCTCAGTGACCACGCACACCCACAACCTCAGCTCCACCCTGCAGTGACTCCATACAATAACCATACATGGTCTGATCAGTGCAGAGCAGTGTGTGTAGTTCTACATTAAATGAAACTGATTTTTAAAGGCACACAATGTTTTTCAGTTTTCCCCTCATGATCTTACTACAGGGCAGAGTTAAGGTTGTTTAGGTGCCTTAGCTGCATTTCTAGACCATAGATTTCTTTTATAATTTGACCATAATTTGTATTTCCGGGGTATATAACACTTGGTTTGGGAATAATTAAAAGATTCCCTCTGTAATGTGTTTTACCCTTAAGTTACATGTACGTCCCCTCAGCCTTAACTCCACATTAATGTAGTTTTTATCTGGAATTGCATTGTGCATTATGGCCCGGATCTACAAAGAAACCCCAGAAATAAGCCTCTCAATCCCAGTTTTAGGCACCATGGTCCACAAAACCCCACTTGGTTGAAACCCAACCCTGTAGGCACCTAAACTCACTCGGGGCATTAATCTCTGGTGTGAAAGTTCTCTCAGTGTCTAAGTTTCTGCCTCTGGGCACGTGGAGCACACGGCTGCCTTGCTATAGACATCTGGGCACCTATCTCCCACCTGTGCCCCTGGAGACACATAAACTGAGGGAGGAGCATCTAGCTCACTTGTGGGGCCTGATCCAGTAAATGTGCTCAGAGGCCACCCAACAGCATACAGAATGAGGTGGGAGATGGAGAAGCAAGGAGCCTCCCTTGTAACATTTAACTCAGGGGTTAGGGTACCCACCTGGGCTATGGCAGACTCTGGTTCAAGTCCCCCATCTCTGCCAGATGAGGAGAAGGCATTTAAAAAAGGATCTTCTACCTCTCAGGACAATGCTCTAACCACTGGGCTATGGGACATTCTGATGTGAGGATCCCTCTGTCTCTTTTGTTCAAGTTGTTACACTTCAATTAAATATTAACTCAGAATCACTCTATAACACCCCTCTGCCCTTCGGTCATCTTGTGTGGAGCGTGGCCAGTGCCTTCCTCTGTCTCACAGACACACTGCCTGGCTCTAGAAGAGGGGCTCCTGGCTATGGATCACTAGCAGAGAGAGGCACCAATGTCAGGAGAGGGGCGGGGCTTAGCACAAACCCCTCTTGTCGGCCTCTCCTATTGGCTGGCTTACATGGCTCCTCGCACACTGGGTTCTGTGGATTCCATTCTAAGGCCCCCATTCATTGTATCGGGAGCTCTGAGATGCCTTTGGGGTTACACGAGTTCTCCAGGGTAAATCGCTGCAACCTGCTCACAGTGTGAGAGCCTTGTCTGTGCTCACCGGGGAAACTCTCCCAAAGCTACTGGCTAAAGGCAACATGAAACGCTGTGCTCCGGGCTCCATGAGCCCCACTGTGTCTCTCTGCAGGCTACAATTCATACCCCAGCTTTGTCACACTTGAGTGCCCAGTCCCCGTCTCCTCCTGGACACCAGCAATGCACAATCTGCTGCCTCAGTGGAAGCAGTGCACCCCCGCTTAGTGGCTTCACCTTGGTTCAACACACTCCTTTGCACCAGGCACTTAGACACGTCTACAGTAAAACCAAACTGAAGTTTAATTAATGGAGCCTGAGACAGAGACTCAAATAAAAGCAAGTGTAGGTTTGGAAACAACATTACAGGTATAAGAAACACAATCTATAGCCTATACTTGTTAGCAGGGCACTATCCTGTCTGACAAGGTATTTCTCACCCATTGGTCAGTTCTACTCACAGTGGCTGCGAGAAGGCTGGTGCAGGGAATGGAGTTACGAATTTCCAGCCTTTCACACAATGAGGCTGAGGTTTTCGAAGCTGCCTCAGAAATTTGGATGCCCGTCCAAATTCCTGTTTGAAACCTTGTTAAAACTTTGTTTTCATGTTTTTGTTACAATCAGACATGCACAGGGCTCTTTTCCCTGTCCTAGGGTGTCCTGCAGGTGTCTTCCTGCTCCCCGAAGCTCTCCTTAGCTGAGGGACTTCCTAGCCAGGCTTTTCTGAGGACAAGGAGATCTTTAAGCCGTCACCTGATCCCTAGCCTCAATATCAGCTGATTAGTCACAGGGTGGGGCTGGACCCAACTCCCCTTAAAAGACCAGACACCCTGTGACACGTAGTCTCACTCATCTTCACACTTTCCATCCCTGACCCCAGTTCCCTGTCTACTTATTGCCCCTTCTGCCTTCCATCTCTAAGCTCAGCGAACGCTCTGTCTACAATTGCTATCTGGAGTTCCTCTCCTCCAATTCCATCCAAACCCGCTCCAATCCAGCTTCTGTCCCCTGCACTCCCCTGAAACCACTCTCGCCAAAGTCTCTAATGACCTTCCTGGACAGATCCTATGGCTTCTGTGTGATCCTCATTCTCCTTGCTCTAGCTTCATGCTCCTCCTTCTGACACCATTGACCAGACCACTCGTCTCCATTAAATCCTTGGCTTTCACATCTCCCTCCTCTCCCAGTTCTCCTCCTGCCTTTCTAATCACTTCTTTGGTGTCTGTTTTGTTGAGTTGGTCTCTTCCTGTCTCCCTCTTTCAGAGAACACCCCCCAGAACCCAGTGCTTGGCCCCCTGCTCTTCTCTCTCCACACCCTGCCTCTAGTAGCTCTTACCTACACGCATGGCATCAGATACCACCTCTACGCCAATGTTTCTCAAACTCTTTCTCCACTAAAGACTGTTCCCACATCTCAGCCAGTCTGACGTCTCCTCATCAATGTCCAGAGGGCAACTTAGGTTCAACAGCTGAGTGTTTAATCTCTTCTGCACCCCTCAGAGCCCTCCTCACTTCCTAGTTTCTTCATCTCTTTGGATAACACCATGAGCCCTCCCAGAGACAGGGGGCTGTGGCTGCTCTCCCTCCTCCCTGCCTCCCATCCCAAACAGTGGGTTGCCCCTGAACTAGGTACCAGGATCTCTGCCCCTCCTGTGGTCCAGACATTGTAGCCCTGAGCTGGGGTGTGAGGCCTGAGCTGACTGCAGGGAGCCCAGAGCAGAGTCGGAGGCCTGGGGTCTGAGCTTGCTCGAGGTGGCTCCTTATGGGAGGGGACCAAGGCTATTTCCCCTGCCCTGGCTGGGAGAATCACTCTATGATGTTGGTCTGGGTTGGGAGTTGGGTGGGACAGAAAAAACTGTCCTGTATTTTTGAAATACAGTGTTGGCCAACCTAACAACACCTCCATCCGCCCAGTCACTCAGGCCAGAAATCTGGGCATCGTCTCTGACTCAGCCTCTCGCTGGGCCCTCACGTCCTGACCTCACCCCAGTCTCCCTGCTCCTGCCTGTATAACACGTCACAGATATAGCCTCTTGTGTCTGTCCCGACAGCCCAGGCTCTCGTTCACCTCATCACCACACACCTCCACTGCTGTGATCTCCTCCTGCCCGGCCTTGATGCCAGCCGCTTTGTCCCCTCAGCTCCATCCAAAGCACGGCTGCTAGGCTCAGCCCTCAGGCTCGTCTCTCCTGCCACATCCACCACTTAGTTCCACTGAGGCCCCCTCCAGCACCGCTCCAACACAAGCTCCTTGTCATTGCCTTTAGGTCCCTCACCAGTTAGTCCCACCCTGTCTGAGCGATTGGCGCCACCGTCCCTCTGCTAGCGATGGCAGCCTGCAGGGCCAGTTCTGGTGGGCGCACAGGGTTGTCACCCTCAGCACCGTATTGCTGCTGGGCTTTTTTTTTTTTTTTGCGGTAGGGTGTATAGTTGCATATATAAGACAAAGTCCCTAATATTGGGGTGTTTGGTCACCCTCAGCTTGGGTCACCCACCTGTCTGCTTCTCCCTTAAACACCTCAGTGTTTTCTCCCCTTCCCTCTCCGTGTACAGAAAAACACCCCCTCAGTATTTGTGAAGCTGCCTCCTTCTCTCTTCAATCACTTCTCCAAACCCAGCTGTGCTGTGGCCCCTGGAATCTCTCTCGTCTGGCATTGGGCACCTGCTGATCTGGGCTTTCCTTTGTTTTTATCGTTACCTCCCCCTCCCAACCCCTTCACCCCAGTTGTCTATTTCATCCCCGGTTGTACCCGGTCTGCCATGCAGAGGGTGAGCTCCCTGGGCCAGGGACTGTCGCTTTGTTAGATGCGGCTTTTGTGGACAGAAGGGGGACAGTGGGTGCATATGGGAGCCATAGAAGAGGATGTTGCATTAATAGTGGCAGGATATAATGAGGGCCTGAGAGAGGGATTGTGCTGCAAGGATGGAGAGAAAAGGGCAGATACTGGAGATAACACTCAAGAAGCAGCAGCAGTGTTTGGAAATGGCCTGGGTGTGCAGAGGGAGGAACCAAAAATAACCATAAGGTTGTGGGCACTGAGATTTGTCCAGAGTGATCAGTAGGGACCCCAGTGAAAGCGGTCTGAGTGGAGTGGGAAGGAGGGACGTCAGACTGGAAGGGATCTAGGACAGCTGGAGACACAAGCATTGTTTGCAGACTGGGTTCACTGAGTTCAGAGACAAAAGGGAGGAGGGAGATGGGGCAGCAGTTAGAGGGGTGGGTCGGGAAAGATAAAGTTAGACCGGGGCATAAATATTTTCAGGGTCAGACCCCAAGACTGTAAACTCTTTGGAATAGGGATTGTGTCTCTTACAGTCTGGAGTGTGTGTGTACAGGTCCTAGTGCTGTGGGCAGAGCTGGATTAAGAAAGGGACTTTGGGGGCTGTAGCCCAGGGCCATGGACTAAGCGTGGGGGCCCGGGCTGCAGCCACTAAAGCCCCTCCGTGGTGCATTCTTGGCCAGCTCTGCCTGGCGGGGGGTGGGGGGGAAGCGGGCTGGAGTCGCGTCACCACTAGTGCAGGGGAGCTCCCTCTCCCACTGCTTCGCTCGCTCCGCCCCTGCCGCTCCCATTGGCTGGGAATCGGGGCGAATGGGAGCTGTGGGGGGCGGTGCCTGCAGGTGTCCCTCCCCCACACCAAGTGGGAACGCCAGGTAAGTGCCCCGCACGCCAGCCCCCTCCTACACCCTCCCAGACCCCACATTCCCACCCCCAGCCTCGCCTCCCGCACCCTCCCTCTCAGACCCCCCCCCACCTCTAGCCTACTCCTACACCCTACCTCCCTCCCAGACCCCCCTCCCACCCCC